CAGTTTGAGGATTTGAGTTTTGAATAAAATATTAAAGTTAAAAAATACACATACATTATCTTCTATGAAATACAGTGAAAAGTGTTGAATTGACTGTAAATCAAACTGCAAGTCTACATGCACTACTGCAATCTCATTAAGAATATGGTGTATGGTTTTGGTTGTGATGTTTGAAAAAGACACATTGCTACTCTGGCTTTAATTTAACTAAGAGAAGAAGTTAAAGAACTGCCAGACAGAGACAGCTTAAATGAACTAAATATCTTTAGTCTAGAGCTAAGCACATCACAAGCATTACAAGGGGACCTGAAACAAGTTTTAGACTCTCACAAGCTGTGGACAAAGGGAGTCCAGAGAACTGCTTCGGGGTCAACAGTAAAATAATGCATAAAGGACAGAAATGAAAATAAGAAGTTACTGAAGTGAAAACAGGAGGCACTATTGTCTCAGGGACATCTTGGCCAAACTAAGAACCCAGTTCCTAGAATCCTTTAGGAAACAGCTGAGGTCATTTAACTACCAGCAGCTAAACAAGCAAGATGCTCTAATGGCCTCCTCTGGTTTGGAATCTTTAGGTTTTTGAGAAATCAGAAATGAATTGGTGTTTGGTGAACAACAGGAATGCCACTCTCCTGTATCAATGACGAGAGAATCTATGGATCCGCTTCAGCTCTGCTATTTTACAAATACCCTAATTACTGGAGTAATTAGAACACTTGGGCTTTCGTTTCCTGGCTACAGTGAATTAATTGACCTGCATGAGAGGCACATGATCTATGAAGCTGGGCACAAATGCAGGCCTTGCCTGCTTCCCAGCTGCAAGATAAACTCTAAAAGACATAAAACCCTCTAGGGTAAATCTCGGACTTTCCCTGTCTAAAGGCTCTATTTCCTGGCTAGAAATTCGAATGAGCTGCTGGCATTTCTGTGAGGGCACCGGGCTCACTCCAGGGCCACTGGACCCACCAGCGTGTCTCTGGACAGCGAGAGGAAACCGGAGCACCTGGAGGACACCCACTCAAGCACAGGGAGAACATGCAGACTCCACACACAGAGCGCCCCAGGTCTGGGTGTGAACCCGGGGCTCCAGCACTGTGCAGCAGTAACACTGGCCACTGCGCCACCGGGCTGCCAAGCCACAGCGATTATACAAAACTGACCACCGCCTCTCGGCATCCATGCACGTACAGTCGCGTGGGTCGCATGACCCCCGAGTGAAACAAACTCATCAGCTGATGATGTCACGAAAAGGTTTGTCTGTGGAGACAGGTGTTTATCTTGTCCTGGCTGTTTTGTTTATGCAACCTTTGGCCCCAAGTGGAAACCACTAGGCAAAAAAAAGACCCAAGAAACTCAAACTCCATTCTGGTAAACAGACACAGGGTATATTAAACATTCATATGAAAGGTCAGGGGATGAGTCATTAAGGAAATATTTGCCTGTACAGTCTGAGCCAGCATGACTTCTCCCACTCTCACTCTCTCTCCATCAGCATATTTGCTCTGTCACTGCAGTTTTAAAGCTTCAATACCACAGGGGTTAGAAAAGGGAGCACTGTTTCTCCACCAATACTAAATTATAAGCATCAGGTTCCCAGTGGGCTAGCCCTGCAACGTGTGGGGTCTTGCGTGCAGTGCTGGGCTGACTATCGATTTTCAAGCAGAAAGCAGGAATATTGTCCAGGTTTTGTTGTAAAGCTCGCCAAATTATTCCCTTTTTTTCACTTTTCTTTTATTTTTTCCAGCCAGATGTGGGAAGGCTGATCACGGAGAGGCATGACCTTTTGAAATGACAGTGCTGGAGCCAGTGTGAGAGCCTGGACAGGTACTCCTGTCGTGAGCCGATGTGGTGAAGAGATTCACTTCCAGGTGGAGGTGAAGACAGGTGTGATTAGTAAAGGTCAGGGAAGATTGCAATCCTTACGAATCTTGAAGAATTAAATATTCCAATGCTCATAATATATATTTAATGGCTTAAAAAAAACAAATTCAGCATAGTAAACCTATTCAATATTTTTAACCTTTTTATGTATTTCTGTTAGAAATTATTCCATTAACCTTCACTTTTTCCTTGGCTTTTTTTTTCAAATAACAGATCTTTAACGAATCGAAAGTTAACATAAAAGTAAAGAACACTCAAACAATTTCTTTTAATAATTCAAGCCTCTTCTAGCACCAAATGTTAAAAATGAATGTGTTTATTTGTTTATAGTATTGCATACACCCTTTGAGAAATTGTTTTAATGAAAACATCACTCTGATCAAAGTAAGTGTAAAAAAAACAAAAGTGAATGCAGATGTGAAAAACTGCTCAAAGAGCTTTGATAGAGAACTGGTAGGCTAGTGTGAGAGACGTTAACTTGTAATGAGGAAAACCCGAGTCTTTGGAACTTAAAATGTTCTGTTAGAAAGTACAAGAGTTGAATGCAGAGTTACAAATTACAAACCAAACAGAGAGACTAAGAAACCTTTCAATAATTATTTCATCCACCAGATAAGTCGGTTGATAAAAAGATTCTCATCTGCAATATGGCCTGGTGCTTGTTTCATTGCTGTAAGAAGAGATCATCGCAATGAAAAGTGAATAAGACAACAGGATGTGCCAGGTTTGACAGGAGGGCTCAACAGAGCAATGCAATAAGTTACGACTGGAAGAAGTTGCCATTTCAAGAGCTGGAAATGAACTTAAACCAGTGAAATCAGGAGTCAATTTAAAGCTCCTCCGACCTTTTATTGTCATCTCAGTGTCTTGATGTTTTATAGCTAAAAACGCCACAGACATCGAATGTAGACTGAAGCCAATCAGCAAAATTTTTTTTTAATTCCCAGCTGAGCGTTAACTAATGGTTGCACTACACATACACATGCTGGACACAGCAAATATTGAAAGGTCCAAATTGTTTCAGACAAAACTAAGTTTCACCTGCAATGTGAAACACGTTAGGGTGCATCACCTTCCACTCATCAAGCATGGTAACTAATTTCACTGTTTTCTCACTCCTACACTATTAATGCAACTGTGTTGTGTAGCAGTAGCCCTGTGTGTTATTTAGATGAATATTGAAAGAGAATATGGAATGTAGGAAGTAATTTTTAAAATACAGGAAACCATTTGCCTTTCCAATTAGAAATATGTTTCTGTGTTGCTGGAGATATTACAAATATTTTGCGAGCTTCTGGTTCAATCCAACCTGAAGCACAACAGTTTCATAGCACCTTAATGCTATAGTATTAACATTTGGATCCTTTATACTTATACTACTGTATGTTATGCATTCTATAGTCTTTTCACTGGAACATAAAAGTCAAAGAAATATAAACTGACTAGTCTCCTAAAGGGCTTCAGAATGTAGTTGAAAGAACCTGCTGAAAGGCTGTGGTTGTTCAGCAGATACAGTGTGCCAGTAATAACATTTCGCAGCCTGTTGTAAAAAATTGCAAGTATTAGACATTCCAAATTGCCCAGCCACTCAACCCCTTAGTAAAACTGAGGCTGCTTCATCCAGAAATCTGAAGAACCATGCCTTTATAATTGTTAGAATTTCTATAGTGTTTTTTAATTGTAAATGCCCCCAAAGATGTTCGCATATAGTTGAGAACCCACCTCACCCACTATAGAAGAATAGCAACCACCTGGCAACCTCATGGCAGGCATTGTGCACCTGGGGGGAACACCTCCTACTGGTCCACCAGCATCGCCCAGCCCCTTCCCAGTTTAAAACCCTGAAATGGAACGGATGTCACTGAGCATTCACTTAATGCACACATCTTTGACTCTTTGCTGGCTTACACTTAGCACAGTCTCAAACAGCTTGTTTTAAACACAGCGGGATGGCATTTAAGATTTTTTCAATAAAAGATCAATTAAATGCAAACTCTTGTAATAATCAATGAGATGTGAAAACCATTCACCAATATATTTCAGATAAAAAAGTTACCCTTTCTTAAAAGATGAGTTATAACATTTTAAACTTAGTTTATTACAAGAATATATACAAAGATTTTGTAGGGTGATATAAGGTAACACCTTCTTACCATCAGAGATTGGCATTCTTCTTTCTTAGTACTAAAAAACAGATCTTCAGAATACAAGATATTTTGGTCAACAACAGAGATGATCAGAGTTTCATAAATAATAGAATTTACCATTTGCACCTCAGGGACATAGATGTGATTTCAGTTAAATGTATGATAGTGGAGTTAATTGGAAACAACAGAAACAGCAGCAGTACTGTTTGCATAGGCAGACACAGGTCCTCGCACCTCCGTGATCAGCTGAGCAACTGAAGTACCCAGATCTTGTGCTGCTAATCAGTGGAACAGATTATCTTGCATTTTTTTTGAACGCCTTTAACACAAAAGCTGTCCAAAGCCTGAATTCTTCATTCTGCCAAATTAAACACATCTTTCTGAATAGGTTTGTTTACACTACAATTTACAGATTTTTCTGCGATTTCTTAGAAGTTAGCTTAGCCGTAATTACAGTTGGCCTGAGCTCCCAGTCTCTCCTGTGGCACAGACTCATTCACTTTTCCAAAACGGGTGCAGTTACACAAGGCCTGGTCTCCTTTGTTAGTCTGCAGCTGGCTTGACTTTTATGTGATTTTCCCAGGGTCTTCAGAGTGAGTGAAATGCTGCTGTTTCTTGACTTGTTACAACACAAAATCTACTGTGTCTTACCAACAAAACTGAACTAATTTTTCATTTTAAGTCAAAAACAGAAAAACCAGCAAATAAATATTCACAAGCACAGAAGCATGATTTGTAAAAGAAGAACATTTTGAAGACACAGAGTAAGTCTGAATAAGTGGGAGACCAAGTGTACAGTAGATCATGTTTTTTTAAGTCTCATTAACTTTATTAATTCGGGAGTGCAGAATGTAAATCTATTCATAGTTCTGAAACTTACCGAACACTTAACTCTCCTCCACTTAAAAAGTATAAATGGCAACAGACATACCAAAAGCATTTAAATGCTGAACTGCCAATCAGTGTGCGATCTGCAGTTTAGCATTTAATCTAGTGACTTACCAAAAAATTAAAAAAAGATACTTCTGTACCACACGTACTACGTTCTGTTCTGCTGCAAAGTGACTCAGCAACAAGCAATACAGGAGGAGTCAGATCTTATACTTCACAAAAGCATTGTAAATAAGTAATCCAAAGTGCTCTTCACCCTTATTTCCATGCTGTAGATACTCATTTTCACACACAGCCGACAGAATGTCTTGGGCTATTATTCACCTCAGATGTGCAAGCGTCCGACATCATGGATGTGTAGAACTACAGGCATTCCCCAGTGGCCCTTTCGCTCAGTTTCAAACTTTCATCATGCAATTGTCTTCTGATTGCATTTTTCCAGACAGCATGCAAACCCATAGGTATACTTCAAAACCGGGAAAGTCCTCAGAACAACAAAGCTTCTGTCTGCTGCTTGCGTTCTGTGCCTATGTGGGACAGTGGCAAGTGCCACATGAGAAAGAGACCATCCACATCGCCTAATTGCAAGTGGTCCGTGATTAAAAGAGAAGAAAATAACCATGGCTCATTCGAACCTACACGTCCTGGGTCTCAGCTTTCCCATGTGCTCTGGGCAGCCCCATGACTCAGGCCGACTGCTCTCACATGAGCTGCTCTCTGTGGAGCCCTGATGGCACAGGGATCCTCCTCACCACAACAAGGCAACTTGCTGGTCTGTGGTTTCCTAACTACAGCAGCTAATAATTAAAGGCACATGAAAACATGACTCACTCCGCTATGCTCCTGGCTTTGTGCGATTCGTCTTTTACAGATTTCCATCGCAGCACATTCACTAAAATTAACGCATCTATCCTGAAACAGTCTATCCTGCACGCGGATGTGAATTTGCATGCTTGTGCTTGCCATGGAGGTTATTAGTTTCAATGATCAGCGATTCCCGATGATGACTTATCGCTTTAGTTACAGATCAGATGTGGGGCAGAAGACACTATGATTTACTAGCTCACAAAGCCATGTCAGTGCTCTCACAGGGGTCACTGTATCAGAACAACAGTAAAATTGTAAAAGCAAACTCATACAGTTTTGCAAGGATAACAAAACATCCGTTTTCTATGGTTTTGTCATCACCCATTAGGCATAAAATGGAAATAAATGTAGCGATTTCTCTAGATTAGAAAGAAATGAAAATGTGAAAAGCAACAGAATAAACACAGCTGTGGGCAAAACTGTACAATTCTATGTCTCACTCATGATAATGTAATCGCTAACGAGGCAACATCAAGGTGTACAGATATCGCCCTTCAGATTCATTCATACCCCTGATGAAACAGGAACAAAATCCATCATTTAACTGAAAGATTTACAGATCTTTGCTTAAATTCTAAATATGCTACAGTGTATTGCATTGCAGAGAGCAAAGTTATATGTATCATAAATAATTGATGTAGTCCAGGAAGCACAAGGTTCACATTTATTTGCAGCCCTGCCGTTAGTATTTTGCCAATCCTGCTGTGACCAGGATCTCACTGACAAGGTGCCTCCAGCGTGTGCTGAGAGACTCTGGCCGTCTCCTGCTGCGGTCTGCGACCATTCCTCCAGCCAGATTTGCTCTGCATCCTTCAGACCCCTTCAGTTTCCATTGGTGAACTGCCTTCTTGAGTTTGAACCACAAGTGTTCAACTGGATTGAAGTCTGGAAGTGAACAGGAAAGTTGAGAACGTTTATTTTGTGTGCAGTTAACCATCTGTTTGTCGATTTGGATGTATGCTTTGGATCATTGTCATGCTGGAATGCCCATTTTCAGCCAAGCTTGAGCTTCTTGGCAGTGTGAACCAGGTTTTGAACACTGATTATGTTTTAGTTTTTCATTATGATGGATTATTCACAACTGACTGATACAAGTGACTGTCATCTCCTTAGTCAGATAGCTGATTGTGCACAGGGGATGAGGCGATTTCAGTTTTTGAATGTCAAACCAGTGAATCAAGACAGAAAACACAGAAAGGAACCAACATGCTCCATGTGTCTACGCTGGCTTTGGGCCTCTGCTCTCTCACCGTCTCTCTCAACCTGGCAAGACATTGCAGGCAACCACAATCTGTCAATGACAAGCATGATGCGGGAAACCACAAGTCAAGACACCACACCGAGATCATGTGATGGCCGGGGCAGGAGTGTCTGGCCGCTGCATTGACCGAGTCACGCGACCTTTGGTCCCGCTAGGACAGCGTTCCAGATGTGCTTAGTGAGCCCTCAACTGACCGTGTGGCAGCAGCTTACTTGAGGTGAGAGTGTGACAGCTGTGCTGAGGAGGCCTGTGGCAGGAACCAGTGGACAGGTACGTGCTTGACCAGGCCCAGCAAGCAGAATCCAGAATCCCTCCGAGGCAGCATTTTCAACCAGAAGGAGATCCATCACAGATCACAGCTGACAGCTTGCGTTGCTTCCAAGGATGGACACATACGCTACTAATCCACGATTTCCACAGTAAGTCTCCTGTTGATAACAGAAGCGATCCAGCTTGATTCATATACCTACAGTACGTCTTGTCTGTTCATTAGAGTGTCGGTGCACCTACTCTAGCACAAAGAACAATGTGGTCATTTTCTCTGCTAACTTGAATGTGTGGCAGCTGCAAGTGATAAGGTTCAGTTGGTGTGCAGTATGTTAACTATATTGAAAATTATTTTCAAACTATTTTAAAAGGCAAGCGCTTCATGGGAAGAACATTTATCTCACATATTTGCAATCCGCCATATATGAATACTGTACTCCTTAGGCAGATAGTGAATCACTAAGAATGAAGGCATTTGAAGGTTATGTGTGCGAGTGAATTGTACATGTTTATAGCAATCACGAAAATAATTACTGGTCTTTTCCCTGCAAGGTAACCAATTAAATCATGAGCCTTCAGAAATAATTACAATGTATAGTTGGAGAAGCGCCCTGCTTTCTACATGAAAAGTTTAAAGTGTCCTGAAACGCCAGTTTATTTATTTTGCCCTCCTGTGGTGACTGCAGATCGCCAAAGTAGCAGAAGCTTCAATATGCATCAAGTGTCGAGTTTCACGACACGCATTTATAACCGTTCATCAAACCACTGGAATCAACACTGCTTTGCACAACTGGCTACGTTTAGCTCATATAAAACGCGGGAGGGCTTTTTTCTGTTCTAATCTTTCTCTCTAAATGGGTTCTGTGGTCACAGGTACCCCTTTGTGTTGAGTAAAGGCTGGACCATGTGATGAATCGTCCTTTTTTAAGTGCCTATATAAACACTGGACCACCATAAAGATACATTTACGTTTGAGATATGCGAGATAAATGTTTACCTTAATCCTAAACACCTGCGGAGCTCAGAGATCAGTCTTCCCCAGCAGAGCTTGTCTTCTGTCAGATGTTGAAGTGATTCTTTGTTAAGGGCTGTAAACAAATTGCTTTATTTTTCAAAAAGAGTGAAATATGAAGAACAGTATTAAAACAAAACAGGCTGATTGAACTCGGTTTTGCCAGTTACGTCTAATCATATTGATTGCACAGTATTTAGTGTTTAGTATATTGTTTCTGAAGTATGGAGAAGCCTTACATCTTTCAGATGTCGAAGAAACTCTAATTTAAAAAAGAACAATTAAGAATCCCAGCGAATGAAACTCACAGCTGACTTGGAACTTGAAAAATGCAATGGTTACTTTTTGCTTGACTTACTTTTTTTGACCTGACTAAAATGTTTTTTTAATATAAATATTTTTTATGTCTTGCACTCTGTGGGTGTACGTTACAACAAAAAGGTAAAAAGAAGACATTATATGAAACTTACCCTAGTAAGCTTCCCTATAATTGTAGCCCTGCAGCTTCCTATATCCATGGAACTCTGTCCATGCTGGTCTCCGATGGGCACATATGTCAGCCACCAAACTGTCAGAACCACAGACAACTGTTTCTTAAGCCTTCATTTCACGAGGAATGACAAACACCCAAGACTAAAGCGTCATGGAGCGAAATTGTGACTTAACCCGCTTAGCTGAGGGCTGACCTCCCAGCCAGAGGAGACCGGGACCCCCCTGCTGCTACAGAGGTGGAGGTGGGATGCAAGAGACACGCAAGAGAGGGAGGGATCTGTTAGGCATTTGTAGCGTTTGGTAGAGGAATGGATTGTCAGGAGCGATTGCTAATTACTGACAGCTGATTCTGATTGAGCTTGGTTGTTGTCATCTCTCCCGAACTTTTGTTATAAACTCTATTTTGCAGGACTGGTAGCTAAGATGGACAACAAAAATGTTGTTTTATAGCCGTAAGCTCTTGACCACCATAGATAAACCTATACAGACAATCTGAAAGTCAGTGTTCTTTCAAAAAAAAACACAAGGAGGCACGTTTCCTTAAAGATATAGTAAAGATACTGAGAGAAATAAAACGGGAACTGTGGAAGAAAACTAATGGCTTTACCACAGAATATGGGGCGCGTTTTTAAGATGAGGTTTGTCAAAGTCTGCTATTCACCTTCATCAAACTTGGTCGTAAAATCGCAGGCTGTCTTCATTGTGTTGTGAACATGTGCACTCTAATTCACAGTCCATACAAAAGTTTTTCTTCTCAAAAATTTATATTTGAAAAAGGAAACGTCTCTATCAACTGGAATTAAGAGATTGCATCCGTTCACTTAGTAGCAATAGTCTAATGTCCTGATATTAACAGGCAAAACCTGTGCATACGTAATGGGTCATTTTCTACTTTTATCGTTCTTCGTCTAAACTATGGTTCACACCACTGAGTAAATTATCCAAAAACAAGAATATAAAAGTTGTGGAACTACGAGTGGGAAAGATATAAACAATATTTACTTATAATCAACTAATTTTAAATCGGTAAAAGTAGTATCCACGATTACGCCAAGGGAATGACGAGTTCTGCTACTGTATCCTGGTACTGTACCTGTGGAGACATTTGATCTTTTAATTTGAGCTTTTGTGACAGGGCTTTTTGTAGTGTAATTACGTTTATTTTTGTTCCTTGTTTTCCGTGCAGAAATCTGGTTCGGGTGTTGACAAATTGCGATTGCTTTTCTGGTAGCGTGTCCTCACGGCTCTTACTGAAAGCACAGTGTGGAGACGTGCTTAGGGCTGGGGACCTGTAGAGAAAGGTTTTATCCAAATCGTGGCTGGGGCACAGCCGTTGACTTGTTCAGCAAGTCCTTCACTCAGACCACTCCAGGAAAATGAGCAGCTGTACAAAAGAGCAGATCACACTTCCAGATATAGGCTGCCCTGCTACCCTGGATTAAAGTGTCAGTCAAACAAAAAAAAAACAACAATAATAATGATAAGTGTCTGTGTGTCTGTGTGTCCAGTGATGGACTGGTGTTCTATCCAGGGTGTGTCCTGCCTTGCTCCTGTTGCTTGCTGGGATAGGCTTCAGCTCTCCCGTGACTCTGAATTGGATTAAACAGAAGATTCTTAGATGGATAATAACGCTGTGTGTACAGACAGAAAAATGTCATGTACCTTTACACATCATGCTTTCCACTTCCACAAGTACGGTGCTTATTCCAGTTCACTCAAATATTTTAGCATCATAATAGTCACCAGATTTAACAAGAATAACTGTTTAATTACAATCGCTACCTTTTGGAAGAACACGGGACCATCTCCACTTTTCAATTATCTACTTTTCAATCTGACCAAGATATAAGGCAGACCTACAAGAGACTATGACACAACCAGTGTAAAACTGATCTTGGGACATTATGCATTTCAGATTCCAGAGTTGTGCTTGCTGTAATACAAATGTGCAGACCTCACCTGATGCTTTTTGGATGAAAGTGTTTGTATCTAAAAAGCCAGTCTATATAAACAATAAGTAATGCCCCCATGGTGATTGAAGAAAAGGGAAATAAATCGTCTGCTGTCAAATATATGAACATCATGTGTCATTTATGAGAGTCTTAAAAATATCTTATTCTGTCTAAAGATGCTAATAATTAAATAGTGATGTCCAGGATATTCATCCAAGTCATATATCTATAAATTTGTGCAGAATTGTTTTTTAAACAAAATCCAAAATGAGGACAAACTCCATGATTTGAAATATTTTTATTGTGTTTTTGAAGGCTTTACATCTAAAACAAAACAGTTTTCCTAGGTCTTTAGTCATATCAAAATTTTAACCTTTTCACTGGAATTAAGGGTTCCGAGGATGAGACACAGCAAGTGTTGATTTCTTAATCACATGTTGACAAATAAATCTACAGTATAGATCAGCTGTCTTGACTTAGGTCAAGGACATGAGCTGATTGCTCTCTCACTACAGGAGTACGGCACTGTTGGCTAATATGAGCATGAGGCAGATACCCTCCTGAAGTTCCCTGGAACCAATCTACCCAAAGAATGAGCTGGATATACAAAGTGCTTATTTTTTCAAATGACCTTTCGAATTCCCAGAAGTTTGGCAATGTTCAACAGTATACTAAAAGAGATTATTATATATTGTTAATGGATGAAAATAATTAGTAATTCCATTTATAAGGTACTGTAGCTGGTTACTACATATAGTTGCTATGGCTGTGTCATTTACAGTATAAAGTGCCTAAGAACATGTGAAATATTAAATATCATACACACTTTTATTTTACTGTTTGTAAGTCTTGCAGCTGTCAAGACACATGAAGTACTGTGGAAAACCACCCTTCTTTATCTATATGAAACACCTCAGCAAGAATATGCTCCTCTAGAATGTAACTGATTACACACCTTTCCAGATCTAGAGAAGTCTAAAGTATATCCATTTTCTTTATAATGGCAGAGACATGCTACAGTGACTCCTCTGTAATAGTTCAGTGTATTTGCAGCTGAATGTACACAGAAAACAGGCAAAGCAAAACGTCGTTTGAATGAGTGCAAGGCTGATTTCCAGATTTGCCACTGAAGATGGTTTGTAGAGAGTAATGTTTATCTACATTACTAAATTCAAAAATCCTCCAAAGGTAAAGAGTGTGAAATATACAAAGCGAGGAACATTGTTGTGTAATTATGAAAACATTTTAAAACAGTATGACACACAGTTTATGTTTAATTCAATGGTAGATCTAGTAATTAAGAAATATTCAACATTTGGTCTCAACATTTGCAAGTCTGGTTTTGTGCAGTATCGTTATTCTTTTCAATGCTCTGTATGGGATTAGGGGTTTACTATGAAGTTTCTATTTTCAAAGCCTCAAGATTTTATTGTACTTTAGAGATTTTTTGATAAGGAAATCCACTGATTCAGCCAATTCCTGTGTTCTGGTTTTTATATTGAAAACAGTGGCAAATTTAAGCAAAGTGAGAGTTAAGTAAACTGCAACTACTGGGACAGATTTATTTAGGCTACAAATACTCTTTGCCAAAATAAAATATTTCTTTATTCCTTTTCATTAGATAATTGAATTCTCAATTCATTGCTTAGTCTTCCTTAATTTGGATTTTCATCATAATAAAAATGACTATTTCAGACCTGAATTTTAGAATCCACTTCTAAAAGCACAATTTGTCATAATAAGTTTGATCTTTTTTTACTTTTTGACCACAGGATTGATTTTCTGTTAATCTGCTTGTAAACTGGCAAATATGAGTGCAATATCCGTATTCCACATATTATATTTAACATTTCTGTTGTTGTGTGTTTAATGTGTAAAATAAAGTAAATATTTTGTGTGTGAAAAATCAGGAAATTCTGTTGGAAAAAGTCAGAACAAGATATTCAGATTAATCATTTGTTATAAACAAGGTTAGGAGTCTTTTGGCAGAGAAAAACACAGGTATATAATAACAGACTGAATGTATCAAAATCACATGAAGGACAAATAAATATTTTACGTTTTATTTATGACAGTCCTATTCATGTGAAAGGGAAAAACAAAACGGTATGAATGACCGAAGAATTCCATAAAAGTACAGTGCAGACTCCTCTCAAGGTAAACATCATAAACTTCCTGTGGCTGATTTAAAACTAGACCCCTACAAAGACAGTAAGAAAAGAAGTATTCATGTGAACCAGGAGACCAACTGATAAAATATGTCAATTTGCAACATGAAGATCTGTCCTTTTCAAACTTGGTTGTTTTTTCCCTTTTTCGGTTCCCTCTTTGCAATATCTAGAACATTTCCAGGACTCCTTGATTCATCTGGATGCTCTCCCGAATTTCAAGTGGCTGTTTTTAAACCTTGAATGTTTTATCCTTCACAAGAAAGAAAAAGACAAAAGGGATACATTTTAAGGATAACACTATGCCCTAGTGTTAGATTATTGTTAGATTAGATCATATTAGATTGATGTGTTAGAATATGCATTCTCCTAGAACAACACAAAGTTTCTCAACAGAGCAGGGAAGAGAGTGAAAAGAGACTGAACATTATTATTCTGCTGAAATGCCACTCTGGACTGCTTAGTCAAAACTCATTCCAATTGGTGACCTAAATTATTCTTTAGTAGTTTCTATACAAAGTCTATAGATGATAAAAAATGTGAACGACTGGTGTTGGTTTAATATTTACTTATTTTTATTGTCCCAAATGGGAAATTTGTTTTGCAAGCAGGTAAACGACATAACACACCACACAATACTTTTAACACAACATGAAACCTGTGACTTAGTGGTATTGCATTTGACTGTGTGCAGTCTAAATCAGCTCCCAGATGGAAGGTACTGTGCGTGGGGTTCATTCCTTTTTCTCTCACTTATTTTTTCACTGCAACAGTCTTGGATGATTTCCCTCCTCAAAACATCCAATGGCACATGTAGTGCCAGAAAACGACTAATCCAAAACTCAGTTTTGCATTTTTTTGTCTACTGACTTAAACAATCGGGGCTTCAGAACCAAAATGTTAAAGTAATAACACTCTCAGAAAATGTCCTGAAATACGCAGGGCTAGGACATTTTCTAGGTACTGCACCCAAATTATTTTTGTAAAATACACATTGTGATAAATAGGTGAATATCGAAGTCACTCTGGATGAAAACCTCAACCAAATAAATTAGTAATAATTCAACACAAAACATGCAAGATGACCCCACTGTATGCTTTTCCTGTTTACAGATGGGCAGCTGCGTCAGCATGCGTAGGCTGCAAAGGAACAAGTAATAGGTTTATTCCTGCTGAAAAGAGAAGAAAGAAAACACAACGTTTCGGCTGTGACACCCGAAGAAGGCTCCACGGCCAAAAATGTTGTGTTTTCTTTCCTCTCTTTTCAGCATGGAATAAACCTATTACTTGTTCCTATACTGTATACATACCCTTAGAAGCAAATGAAGAACGTTGATATGAACAATTTCAAAGGAATACACAGCTTGCATGGTCCTGAATGAGGAAACACACTGACCACACATCTTTCAATCCACTCTAAATGACAAAAAAAGAAAGCACATATTTAAAATGATGAATCATTCTTTAGCAGACTTGGGGAAATGGAAAGCACGCAAGTCAGACTGGCTGCTAGAGTCTCTTTCTGCTGGAGTCTTTTATCCCAAATGAAAAGTGTGGGTGAACTTGGGGTGGAGAGGTTCGGTTTCGAAGGAGCAGTATAAATTAGGTTTATCCTGTTCCATGTAGTGCTGAATTGATTTACGAGTAGTGAAAATCTTGTTTACATTAGCTTGCCAAGTTGCTTTTTTTCTGGGGAATGGCACTTTCGTGTAAGACATTTTTTAAAAGTACTGATCAGCACTTTGCTTTCTTTTAAGCCGTACTTTAAGGGGAAATATGCTGCTTCCTTTTGGTTTACATCTGAGAAAAAGCCAAACACAGTCCTGTATTAATCTAGCAACTGTCATGTGACACTCTCATACTTTTCCACTTCCATTGTTAGAGATTGTCCAACGGAAAGAGGAATAAGCAGGTGGAAATAAAAAGCCTTTTGACAATATCAAGAAAGATTCCCTGTGAGCTCCTTTCAACATTTATATAAGCTCCTGGGAGCAGGCTCTGGCTGTGGAACAAAAATGAAGTCAAAGGCAGGAGATGACATTATATCAGTTTCTCTGCAGCCTGGCCTGAAGGCAGTGTTGTTTTATCCTATTGTCTTCTTCTAGAGCACACCTCCTTCCAGGCCCAGAGCACCGAGGATCCCGGTTTGATTCCAGGAAATCGTCTTCTTTTTTTTTGTAAAGGCAGAACTAACTGGGATTTTTCAAAGTTTTGATGCAGGGATACAATCGCTTACAGGACAACTTCCCAAGTGAGTGGGCAGCTGCGTCAGCAAGCGTAGGCTGCAAAGGAACAAGTCATAGGTTTATTCCTGCTGAAAAGAGAAGTAAGAAAACACAACGTGTTGGCCGTGAAGCAAAGTCAAAACTCTGCACGACCAGGACTCCAGCAGTATGACAGGGATGGACTGTCCCAGGGTCATGGATCATTCTATACGCATATTAGTTTTTCCTGATGCTTCACTGAGACCCCCCTTGAGCTGTTTGAACTGTGCACATTCTCTTGATCCAGTGAGACAGCTAGTGGAGTCTACTGTATATAACACTGCCACGTGACAAAGTGGATGCAACACGCCTGTTTCTGACAAACGAAATGGCAGCCACTTGCCCCAAAGGAAGGGAGGATGTCTCTGAATTTCAAGGCTCTGAAAGGTTCAGAAACAAAAATACAGGACCAGCTTGCATCTTGCTCAGCTGGAACCGAGTTGCACTTAAAAACAGCAAGAGGCATTTGTTTAAGAGCACCACAAATTGAAATTAACTCAAAATCTTGCCACCCACTGACCACCTCCTCTAATTTTCTTGGCGGTTTGTAGTAGGTGGCTTTACTGTGGCTTAAAATATCCTTAACTTTATAGATGATTCCCATGGCCAGAACTGACTTTGAAAACAGACACATTGTGTTCAGTATTTACACCATGGAAATTCTAAATTGGATTTTTAATAGTTTTCCTTTATGTGTATTTGTGAGCAAAGGGAATTATGTAGATATCCATGTAAATGTTTTTTTTTTTCGGTGCAAAGTGAGATCACTTTCAAAGCAGTCTGCAAACTAACCTGCGCCAGAAGTTGTGGTTTTATACGTTCAGGTTGAATTCATGCTTATGATGTTTTACTCCTGATCCATAATTAGCTGACATGAATAGGCCTTTTTGTAGTTAAAGAGGGAAACAAACAGAAATCACAACGATTTCCTTCAGCCAACACTCCATGACCATGTGTTGAGCTAAAGAGCCTGTGTGCAGTGCGTGAGAAGGAAAATGGTAATTTTATAGTGGTTTCTCTGGTATTTTGCAGGAGGAGAGACTATGACCCTACCCAATCGTTTGAATCCATACCTCTCAATTATCATTAGCAGTGTCTGTAGAGAATACTGACAGACTGAGAGGATCCTACAAGGAGTATCCATGACAACTTATCCTTTCCCTGGTAAACTGTTTTCATACTTGCACTGCGAGTTGATGGGAACAAATTTGGTTGAAATCTGAGCTCAGGCTAAACCTAGCTGGCTTAGCAACCTTCTTCCGAAATCAGGATGTCACAGAACTGTCTGGGGCAGCTCAATCAGCTGTAATTGGACATGTACGGCGGTCCTGTGAATCCAGCCTGGCAGAAATGACTGTGCTTTAAAAAACAATAAAACTAACCATATTCAGGAAGCAAATTACTTCTAGAAGAAACAGTTCTGACAAGCGATTACAAGACATTTTAACTTAATTTAGTATGTTTTTTATAAAGCCCAACTGTGCAAAAAAATGTTTTCCAACATACAAAATATTGTAACATATTTTGGAACATTTTAAGTGTTTAGTGATATCTATGTGAGAAAAGCACTAATCAGGTGTTATTACCTTGTTTTCACTTCCTGGCTAGGTGAAGTTATTTCTTCACATGAACTTTTCATCAATCTACAAAAAAGTGAGAGTCATGTTTCAGTACTTTCAGAAAAGGAGTTGGAGTTAGCTTATTGAAAAATCAACATTAATCATAATGATAATACCCATCTATTGTAATAAAGCAGTTTATTCCTGTTGAGAGTCACAGTAATCTGGATCATATCCCATACACACAGGGGGCAGGGGAAGACAGCACCCTGGATGGGACACCAGTCCAACACAGAGCACATAGGGACACCATGCAAACTCCACATAGAATGTGCCCATCCCAGAGTCGAACCCGGGATCCCAAGACCTGTAGGGCAGCAGCTCTAACAGGCAAGCCATTGTGCACCCCTAATGATGAAATAAAGATCTAAAAGAGAGAATGAAAGTATACTCCTTTCAAAGGGCATTTTAATATGAGACCACAACTGCTACCTAGATGTTAATATTCAACATTATCAAGCTCCAACCACTTGGAAAACAGTACTTGTTAGATCAGTCCAGTCCTCCAACCAGCATTTCTGCCCTTGAGAAACTGTACACTAAAGCTATAGCTTCACTTGTAGCAGTGAGAGGACAAAACAGTGTCCATTGAACTGTGAGCTGTGAAACAACAGGAATAGAAAAGAGAAAACTCAAATTGCAAAAATAATTATTTATCAATACAAATATTGCATCTTCTATCATATCTTCTTTGAACAGAAAATGAGCTTACAAGGAACAGAATTCATGCTGAATTCCAGTATTTATTTTCGAAAAGGTCCTGTTCCCTATATTTTATTTGGCATTTAAACAGGATTGTCGGGGCTGGATATCACACCTTCTCTTATATATAATGTATATGTATGTTTGGTCTAGTCTGGTACTAAATTATTTAACAAACATTAATTGAAACTAATAGATTTACTTTACAGTAAAAAAAAAAATCCTTTATATAGTGGAATTATTAAGCTTTTAAAATTATTGCATTAGTATCATTCATGTTATATTAACTAAGGTTATTATTCTTGTTAGAAATCACATGATTACAGTTCCATCATACTGTCCCACATTGGTCTTCTCTCTAAATGGAGGGATGTATCTTTGGAAGCACCCACAAAGCACTGAAGGGGAAACAGGAAAATTGCACAAGTATAATACGCTACATTGACCGGTGTTTTTGTTGCCTGAAATGCTTCAAAGCCTTAGTAGTGTCAGAATGTATTTAAATGTAGTTTGTGAATGGAGCCACCTTTCCAGACCGGTGCTGAAGCAGGTTTAGCTACAGTATTATCTGTGCTGAGGTACTGCAGTACTCCTCTCCCCGCAGGAACGATACAAGCTGTAAGACAGCCCCGCACTCCATCATCATCCCATTTGTTTCGAATAATTGTTGGTGTGCTATGACCAGGCGCTTCATTAGTCTGACAGCTCAGATAAGATCAACTGTGATAAAATAAAACCGCAGTATGATCTCCAGAGGAGAGGGGGGTGTGCACCACGAACACTCCTTCTCAAGATATGACAACGGGTTCATACTGAGATCTAGCAAATGCCCCATATAAAAACTAAAAAGGAAAATACGAACAAGAAGGTGAGGCAGCGTATGCTGAAATGACAATGAATAATAACAAACGTTCTCATCATTCTGTTTGAGAGTCTTTTCTTCAATGCGTGCTCATGTCTTGTTCAAAGGAAATTTAGAGAAACGTCTACAAAGTCGCCGTCGTCCCCCCTCCGAGGCTAGGAAAAAAGACACCTGTTTTGTGATAAATGTTTAAAGTTTCAAGACACAATCTTGGTGAGCGATTGCGAATAATTAGTTGTCATTACGTGAAATGTCTGCATTTTGAAATGCGCCCTTTGAACCCTTCTGGAAAGGGGGGAAATTAAGTGCCTTTGAACACTCTTAAGCTAAACTGAATTGAAATGTTGATTAATCACGGAACGCACCCGCCCCTGTCGCGGGGAGCAGCGCTGTTTGTTTGCCCTGCCGGTGCGAGCGCGCACGGTGACGGACGCGCTGGGGTCGCGCTCTCCCCCGGCAGGTATTCCGACAAGATGGAAAGTCCTGCCTCGTGAAACTAGGACGGAAGTAATGAATCCACCACTTCAACCACTGACTATTAATCAATCCTAATAATAAACAGTCCCCTAGTCACAGACCCCAAATGCATCCAATAGGTTATGCTGACAAATTCTGTTCTGCTGACTTTACGGTTCTGCGGTATTTTGTGGGCGTTGAATACGTCTTGGGATGCTCTTCGCATCCGCAATAGCGATTACCCTCGTCATAATTTGGGCTTTTATTATTCTTTAAAATAAATAAACCGAAGCTTTCTAGTAGTCTACACTGTAAATGGAGGAGATTAGAAAATTAACTTAATCTTGGCGCTTTTTTATAGATAGAATTTTACCTGTTGACAGTAAATTCAACCTGTTTTAGTTCGGGATTTAACTCCGTTTGCTAAAAATCAGAGGTGATATTTTTTATGTTTATTATGTGTCAGTTCCTGTATTATTTGTTGCACTTTCATGCAACATTTCTTCAAATAGAACATTGTCTTACATATTGTTTGCATATTTCTGAAGCGAAATACCAATGTGTATACAGGCGAAAGAACCTTTCTATTCATGTGCATGCAGGTCGCGCTGGTTAAAACGACCTAACAAGTACATTAACACTGCAAACTTAAAGCTGTAGAGCTAAAAATTTTAATGTATTGTCAATTAATAGTCTATTGCAAGTATACCGTAGCTTTTGAAACGAATCTGACACATTATTATTATTTTCGAAGCTTTTTAATAGAAGTATTAATAACCTTTTTCTCGCAGTTTATGCAGAATATTTACATGCGATTATTGCGCTTTTTTACAACTTCAGTGCCAAATGGCGAAGGAACACGTGCACTCGGGGCTGCAGTTGTGTGCTGGTAAGTGATTTCGGCTAAAGGGACAAATGCATGATAGTTTAAAATAATAAACCAGGTTTAGGGAAATCTTCTGTGAGGGCAGGGCTCTGGGACTCTGCTGCCTCGTAAACAATAAACATCGCAACACTTCGCTGTAAATTACCTCTCTGGAGTTCGACAAGGCGATAGTTCGATATATCGGTCGCCTGAGCCAGATACGCCAGGTGATGGCGGACAGTGAAGCAGAGCCCCCGTGTCACTGTCACGGTAACTCCTCCCGGCCAGCGTGTTTTTGACACCGTGACGTGGAAACGTCATCGGACACCTGCCGAATCCACTGCGCGCGGACAGATTCCTCGCCAAGATGAATGCGCGCAGCTCGTGGGGCGCAAGTGCTACGTGACACGTGATTCTTCCCATTCACATCTGGCTCCAAGCAGATGTCTACACCTGTAAGAAGACGTTGATGCATTTCTACCAGCTTGTACATCATGCCCGATCGTGAAGGGTGTTGTTTTTTAGGTTTTTTAGGGTTAAACATGATCCCAAAGCGAGCTCAAACACGCAGCCCGTTTTCAGTGCTGGGACGATGAACACTGTATCAGAGAGTAAAATATATACGACATGAACAAAGAGCCCTGCCTAATATAATAAAAGAAAATGAATTCACCAGGACACGCAAATGCAAGGCTACAGTGAAAATAAATCTGAGCAGAGATAAGAGTTGATTTTCGTTTACAAGCAGGCAGCAGAGCCTCTCATCTGCACAGACACGTTGTCCCGCATTGACTTGGCGCTCATGTTTTCGGTTCATTCCTAATGAGGTCACCATTAGCTGTGCACGTCGCAGACATACATGTAGGAGTCCGTTTTCTCCCTGTAAATGATCGCGGATCCAAACACTTCCATTTCAGACGCGCACAACATCCCCCGATTGCGACTTCGAGCAGTGGGGTCTTTACAGCAAACCTCTCTACAGCCTTGTGTGCGGTGCACTACGTGTACATGTAGCATATAGGCGTCTCTTCCTTCATACATATGTCTGAATTGGTCTAATTATGGAAATCCCGTTTAAATATACCTCTGATTGTAAAAACTAAAGGGGACCGAATTCCATTACATCCTCTCATGCGATGCATCACGAAGCCACATCCTTAATGAAAATAATCATAAACCAAATCAGAAACATTTTGTATTTAGGCGTCCAGAGGAGTTTTAATACGTTAAACGTTTTTGTTAATAGCAACTTCACCCACAACAATACGCAGTAATAACAAGCATGTTTCCATGCAAAACAAATCTTGCTCAGAGCAATAACTTGTGTGGGATTTTAACTCAGAAAATTGTTGCTTATCGTATGCATTGTGGAAACCATTTGATTCTGAAATTCTTCCGGAGAGCCTGTTTTTCTGTCAATGATATAACAAAAACACAAGTGATTTTTTGTATCTGTTTAGGCAATGCGAATATGCATTATAACAACCCACTTATTTCAAAACGTAACAATTACTGTCTCAAGACTACGTCTTGATAAGGTCATGACACATTCTCTGGACTTTAAACCAGACCCGCAAGTTTCGTCTCACGTATGTGTATAAGCACATATGACCCAGCCTATATGTGATGATAATACCTACACATAGGACACACATGTTCAGTTCTGGGGGACTCGCTGCAAAGGCATGTAGATAACGCCACTGCATACAAGTTTGTAAAAATGTCCTAATTTGCTGGCGATGTTTTAAAATCTGTATTTAATTTTAACAGCACAGGTCTTTCAAATAAACCTGCTATTTTATATGTATATACATGAATGCAAATTCAGCATTATGCTAAAGCGTCACTAAAGCGTGACTCAGAGTTTACGTCCTCGATTGATTGCAGTTACCTCAAAGGGATACTTTAATACAGGCAAAAGGGATTTTGTCCCTCTGCTTTACACAAAACAATGTGCCACGGAGGTCTAAACTCTAGTTTTTGCCAGAAGAATTAAAAAACCATATAGCAAGATTCTAGTGCTGTTGATTACATGAAAGGGTGGGGTCGGTAAATACACGGTTCAACTCAATCTAACAGTCCAATCAGTGGTCTGTTTGTAATCTCATCCTTTTTCATTAACATAAACACCACTTGAAC